AGCTGCTGCTGCACACTGACACATGCACTGCCACCCTCATAATGTCTCCACGGACATTTGCGTCGCCTCTGCACGGCAACACTTGCCAGGTCTTCTTGGCCTACGGTTCTGCACCACGCAGTACAAATTCCAGTTGGTAATAGAGAAAACGAAGTGAAAACTAAATGTAGTTTTGTTTTGTATCCAGGATGCCTCTTCAGGAACAAAGTGCTTCCCCAGTAGAGATATGTCTATTTGCCTCCATATTTAATCGCATGATAAAACGGCCTTTAATTATACAAGATAAGTTGATCGATTGGTCAGGCTTCAAATTACTGCTGAACTGTAATGGATGTACAGTTCTATAATACTTTTCTAGCGTGACTGTTGTCGTATGGAGGGGACTGGTCCTTGCCATGGAAATGCAGAATATACATTACTGGTCGTGGAGAGGATTGACACTTTGGCTTGAGCTTCCAGCCACTGCTTCTGGCGTGGAGTGCTTGACAGCAGCATCAGTAGCACGAGGGTGCATAGTGGCGGCGGCGAGACTGCTGAGCGCCAGTGATAAGCGATTGTTCTCGGGAATGTGTCTGCTCAGGAAGGGGTTTGTGTGCGCCCCGCGTGTGTCATCTGGAGCAATCCAACGAGTGTAGGTTGCAGTGTTTTACATTTGAGGGTTTGCTCACTCGCTGGCTTGTAAGGGGAATTTCTGGCATCGTCAAATATATAGGGCTTATTTTTCTTCCATACACGAGTGCGTTTAGTCAGAAAATGTGAGAACATTGACCAGTGTGTGCAATGCAGTGCTTCCAATACTATAGCTTTGAGGTTTCGAGTAGTGCAGGATTAATAAAGTCTTTGCTACCATTCATTTAAGCCGGTCGATTGTTTTTCCAGGCCGTTTTTTTTTTCACGCATTAGAAAATGTTGAATTTGGTCTTCTTTTCACACCCAGCACTCTGCAGGCTATGGCGGCAGTTAACCCGCTTTGGCCCCTCCTGTGGGGGCCATCCAAGGGGTTGGCGACCGCTGCCTCTGCCAAGCATCTGCCGCTGTCGCTCCGCTCGCTCGCTCGCTCGCCCTCCCGACTGCTCGGCCCTGCCGTGGCCCCTCTCTGGCATAGTCCCTGTGTAGCCCCAGTGAAAGTGCGCACCTCTTTTAAAAGCCTCCCCGTAGCTCACCGCTGCCACCAACACCGCTGAATATGGCCTATTTCCCGTGTGTGCCGACCGACCCCCCCTACCCTGCTTTCTTGGGGCCCCTGTGCCGTCTCCAATGCTCACCATCCCAAGTGGTCCTGTCCGCAAAAGCACCCACCACCTCCCGTTTAATTTGAACTTGCCGTGCATCTCACTGGTTTGTCCCTTCATTCGCTGTGCCTTGTCAGCTGGCTCAAATGTCTGGAGCTTTGTTCGAGCGTGTCTGTTTTTGCGTGCGCCAGTGTGTGTATGCTCCCACACGTATGCATGTGTGCATGTGTCTGGTCATAAGCTCAGCTTTTACCGTCTGATTTCCTGTGTCTGCCACACTGTACCAGCCACGGGACCTCCGCTTTGGTTGCCACATTCCATCTGGCCTCATCTCCTTCTCAATGGTCTTCTACCAAGGGCTGTCACCTGATTGTAGACGTTTACAATTATCGTTGAGCAGAAAGACAAAACATTGTTACATTTGCTCTGCACACTAACCACTGCTATCTACATCAGCAGTCTTCAGTTCCTGCCGGGTTTCCACAAGTCTTAACGCAGGCGACTGTGCACAGGGCGCTGCCAAGTTGATCCCAGCGCCAACTTGTGGCTGTGTTCGGCCACCTGCCCCTTCTTGCTGGATTCCAGCCTCTCCACGTCTTACTGGTCTCACCCCAGAAGCTGCCCTTGTCATCTTTTTTGCCCACTCTAAGCTAAACTAAAACTATTATTATTTTACCAGATGAGGGCCGCTGAGTGATATAGCTCTTTTTTTCAGAAGCGACCTGGCCACAAATGGTAGCCTAATGAAGTGGCTTATTACGTGGAAATTTATAGCAGCCAAAATACTCGTGTGACCTGCACAACTTTTGCCACCGGGCAGGAGGCTGAGCTGTGTGTGGGGCGGCTCCCCGGTCCCTAAGCAGGATGCCGTGTCAACCGCTACCCCCCCCACCCCCCAACGCTTCGTACGTGACCCTTTATCCACCTTCAATGACCTCAACAATCCGAGCTGTTAACCTTTGAAGAGACGACCATCTTCCTTCCATCCTGAAATGCCATTCCTTCCCCGCGCGTGCTCGGCTCTTCACGGGCGCGTGTCTTTTTGGGTGAACCCTGCCTTCCAGGCAATGACGTTTATCTCATGTTGCTCTCCCTGCCCTCAATTTTTCCATCTTTGACACCATGATTTATTAATTCTACACTGATATTCTAGTTAGATTATTATAATATCGTGGAATGTACCAATGTGTGTATTGTAGCAAAGATACCAATGTTCCTACGTGCATGAGTGACTGCACGATATATATCATTTGCAATGAAGGGATTTCCCCCAAAAAAATTGTGGTTGTTTTAATTTTCCACAAAAAGTACAAGTGTAGGTGTATCCATTTCATCTATATGATAAGAATTGTCTATTACATTATTAAATAAACAATTTTAAATAACATTCATAGGAAACCACACGAGTGCCAGCCATTGACTCATAAATTGAGACTTCAGTATCTATGTTTTGTTGGCACAGTGTAGCACCATTGTATACTGAGACAATACCAAACATGCCTGCTTCAGAGGTTGTATATACAGGGCTAATTTTAGCAACTGAAATGCAAACCCACTGGGGTGACCTCTGAATTGCTTGCAGCCGATGGCTGTTGACCGCGGGTCATCTCTGTTGCTACGTTGCAAATGGTGCAGCACCCTTACTCCTGGCAAGGGTTCCTAACAGAGGCCCCATAGGAGTCGGTGTGAAGCAGCGACCAGGGGCCAGAGCCTGCTATTGTTTTTGCGGTTGAATGAATGACTAGGGTCTGCCCCCCCCCCCCCACCTAGAAAAAAACAAGTGGCATGTGTTTGCTGATATCTCAATCTCTTACATGCGATCTCTGTGGGCGACCACACCAGGCCTGCCAGGAGTAACCAGGCAGATAAAGAGCCCCTTTTGTAGGTGTCTTCTACCTCCTCGAGCCCTACTCCTGGACTCCATGTCCGGGTGGGCTGGAGAGTCAGATCAAAGCGGAGCTGTTGATAATCCATGACCGGCACGCTCAGCTCAGCCCGGTCGCCGGGATGGTGGAGAAATATACAAAAGCCAAGAGTGCATCTGTGTGTGTGCGTCCATGCGAGCAGGTTCTCTCTCCGCAGCGTTTTTGTTGCGCCTGCTCGCAGAGCTTTTTTCCACTGGAAGACCTGCTGTAGTTAGGCCCCGAGCGATGGCTTCCGCCAGCCTGGTAGGATGAGGAGTTAGCAGCGAGCTCTTTTGTGCCTATGTCCATAAACGCTTCACAAATAAATTTTGATTGAAAGCTTTCGTGACTGCAGGGATTCATGTTCTTGGTTCTTTCGATAAAGTCACGTAGAAGGGAAACAATAAAATAATAAAAATATTAAACAATAAAATTCTCACGACGTTTCGACTGCAACACAAGCAATCATCATCAGGTGTGAAAACCACAATAAGAAAATTTGAAAAATTGGCGGGTTTTTTTTGCTGACGTTAAAAAAACCGCCACTTTTTTCAAATGTTACAGCGCTGTCCTCCAGACAGTCTCGTCCCCTTCACCTGATGAAGGCCGCTTGTGTTGTGGCTGAAACGTCGTGAGAATATTATTGGGTTATTTTATTTTATCAATTTATTATTTTATTCTCATTCTACGTGACTTTACCGAAAGAACCAAAGAAGATGAATCCTTGCAGTCACGAAAGCTTTAAATCGAAACAAAGAATATGCTTCACAAATAGTTGTGCTGTTTAACCCGTACCAGTCGGTGGCTTATGGAGCATTGAATAATCAGTGATTGGACCGGAGACCACTTGAAGGGATCTCAGATGTAGCTCGGTGACATCCGCTTCCGCGGGTCGTTCTTAAACATCAAGGGTTGCACTGCTCTGCGAGAGATTGGAATGGCCTCTTCACCTTTTGAAGTGAAACCGATAGCACAGTCTGGACAAAATTTGAGGGAAATTACACTTAAAAAATAAAATAATTATAGCTTCATTGTAATATGTAGTGGTAGTGAATGTTGGTTAAAATTACACAAAAGGAATGTGCTTGTGGCACATACTGTTTTCAGTGCATCTGTATATATACACAGACATTACTTAATAAGATAATGTCCATTGTTTATCCACAAAAAACGCTCAATAGGTCTCAAGAAACTTATATATTTATATTTGTCTAAGAAATCTCTACCGAGTCTCACGACTATTTTTAAAACACAGACGGTTTTAAAAACCCACTTACTGTCCTGCCATTTCATAAAACATGCTTCTTCGATAATGTATTTTCATTGCTTTTTGCGCTGTTCGCCTTCCGTGTTCTCTGGTCTAACACTGGTGAGACAAGGCCATAAAGGAGGCCGTCTATAGTCTAGGTCAATCAATTTCAAGGACAATGCATACATTATCATAGCATGTTTCTGTGCATGTTTTACGACACACGTGTGGTTAATTCAGACTTCATGCCTTGCAATGGGTGTCTATTTGATGTTTGAATATCTTAACACCTTTATTATCTACCAGAAAGGGTGAAGCCTATTTTTTCATTATCTTGATACCGGAAAAAAGGGTCCCACAGATAAAATTTCATTATCTGCTGGAGCCGACATATGTTAAAATTAAGTTCTTATTCATCATAGATTTATAGGGTTTTTTTATTACTCACATGGCGCAGTTTTTTTCCTCTTGATTTATGTTGGCTTCATTGCTGTATTTAATTTCATTTGTTATGCTTTTGTCATTTTAGTGACCCAAACGAGACTATCATGGTATCTTGAATGCTCACCCAGTTAAACATACGACTTTTAGCTTGACCTGTGCCCTTGTGTCCAGGCTGTTTGACGTCTGCGCCACGTCCCGCACTGACCGCGAGACGAGGCTCACGCTCGTCTTCGAGCACGTGGACCAGGACCTGTCCACCTACCTGGAGAAGGCGCCCGCGCCCGGCCTCCCCGCCGACAAGATAAAGGTAAAAACCTCCGAGAGCCCGAGCGAGCGATGCCTTGCCTTTTCCTGCGCCTGTGACGGCCAGAAATCCGTGCACACCACAACACTCGGGTTCCCCCTTGACGGTTCGCCATCGCCGATCGCCTGTGGGTAGTTCCCCTTTGCTGCGCATGGCACGCACGCCTCGCTAGAGCTCTGTTACAGTTCTCTGACCATATCTGCTCTCTGATTGGACACTGATGTAGATTCGAGCTTCCTTAGATACAGTAATTGTAGAGTTGCGCATAATTGTAAATGTGTGTTTTTTGAAGCGTGCGTTAAATGTTGAGAGTGAAAATGGGAGTCGTGCCGGTGTGAAATGGCTGTGGCACTTGTTGACTTTTGCAAAAATGCATCATGTTGGCAAAATAAAACTTAAATATAAACGTGGTATCATCATTATTGTCACTAAGTAACATATGTTGCTTGAAGGTAATTTAAATATGTAATTTTTATCGCTTCTTAATTTATCCCTTGGTGAAGATGTTCAATAAGGGACTTGATATGAAATTCTGTGAGGTGTTTCAGTGGTAGAGTGAGCAGCCCCCAATCAGAAGTTTACAAGTTCAAATCCTGGTTAAGTGTTGACTCGCTCAGCCCATCATCCCTTCGGGGTCAAGAAAATGATGGAGGTCAACAGTGGTTGTCTTATAAAGAGACTCTGTCGCACCCATATGACTATAGAATCTCCACAACTGGCTCAGGGCTGTAAGCAAGTGATTAACACTGGCTCAATGATATTTTGAGCAGGAAATCACTTTGACTTTTGATAAGAAAAATGGTGTAAGGTTATGCACTGATTGTCCCACATTTAACACTCTGCAGTGGCTTTGTGTGCTTACTTTAGCAACTGAACATGCTCTTTTTTCATGTACATCTGTTTACGACTCTCCCACCTCCCCCACTGGAATCCATCAGTACAATGGGCCAATGAATTTTATCAGTGGGTGTAAAGTGTGTGTTTATTTTCCTATTTGAACTTTTTTTGGTGTTATCTTGAACGCCATAAAATCACTCCACAGGACAAGCTGTCTATTGTATGTATTTCCTTTCACACCGACTTTGGCCGCACATACTTGCAGCGGTGGTACCTGTGTTTGCAGTGGCATTGTTCTGAAAGTATATGGGCCTTGCATGATGGAATTGAGAACAGGTCACAACCTGTTGAGATGCTGCAATTGCATTGGAGTAGAGGTTTAAACCACCGAGGACACTATACCAAGCGGCGTCTCTTGTCAAATTATGTTAAAAGCAATAACGCCCTTCAAACTTTACCAAAGAAAAGAGAGATGTTATTCTACCAATTTGGATGCCTGTTTTAAATATTACATTTCAGTATTAGGGCTGCATCAATAAGAATGTTTACGTCGATTCTTAAGACGCGCATCGCATCATATCTATAACCTTATATATTGCATACAGTGGATTTACATTATCTTTCTAGCCACAAGTGGCCACTGCATGCACCGCGTTATTAAAAATGAGAGTTGAAACAAATCACAACCCAGAGTGATAAAAATGCATTGAATAATTAGGAAGGAAAATTGTTACACCCTCCCTATTGTGAATATAACATGTCCTCCATAAAGAAGCGTGGGCGAAAATCTTCTGTTATCTTACAGTTGATCTGGGATCATGGGTATTATAGAGGGGCTTCTTTGCGAAAATATAAGGTGTCAGTGCACCCTCTTTTGAAGTCGTATTTATGAACGAGAGTACAGTAAAAGAGTCATATTGGGACTGGTGGAAGGGAAACGCGTCTCCTGCTCCCAGGCCCCACACCCCATTTTCCCACTTTCAGGTGTGACAAAACCACTGGTGGTCTTGTGACATAAAAGTTTACAGCTCGCACCTGGCTCACACGCTGCCGATAAGCGGTTTTGTGATGGAGAAGTCGCTCGCTGCAGCCACGTCGCGTCGCTCCTCCTCCTCCTCCCACCAAGCTCTTTCGAAGCTTAGCACCACGTGAATATTCAGGACTCATTAGTTCCCACACTCTTGATAGCAGCAACGAAGGGGGTGTGCGTCTGCCTGCGTTCTCAGTGTCTCCTCAGCTATTGGTCCAGTGTAAAAGTTTTCCTCGGCTGCTGCTGCAGGCTGGTTGAACACGAAGTCCCATATTCGTCACTTTCTATTGACTAGAATTTCAGCGGCCTACGGCCTTATTGAAGCTCCTGCGGAGGGCTTTTCGGCGCTTGGCGCCTTGCCCATCGCCCCCACTGATGTCCTCTTCTCCCCCCCCCCCCCCCATGTGTGCAGATACTACTGACTATTTTATGTAGGGTTTGTTGGCATATTTGCCTACTAAATCAATTTATTTTGGTTGAGGAGGGGGGGTGGGGGAGTGGAAATCTATTTTTTTGCGGGGAGGGGGGTGAACTTTTTTTTTTGGGGGGGGGGGGGGGGTGTGGTCGTCGACAATTGTTGTAAAGCTGTTGAATCAACTTTTTACCCCCTCTTCTGGGGGGGAGGGGGGGCAGTCCACTATCTAAAACTTTTTCATTCAGGCCTTCTGAAATGCTATTATAATTTAGTTGACGGACAAACGGAACGCCGGGCTTTTATAATAGATGTGATGCCCCCTAAGAGTGCGCATCCAAACGTGGGGAGTTTAACTTCAGTGCACCATCGCTGCATTGTTGTACGAGTTGACAGTTGTGTTCTTAAATGGCACGTGCTCATGAATTCGACAATTAATTGGCAGCAAGACTACAATTGAAGTTGGCTTGAGATATAAAATATAGATAGAGGTTGATTACTTATTAATGCATTCAATTGCTTGTGTCGGAGAACCTGCTTTTCTGTTCAGTTGTGGGTTTATTTTTTACAGCCTTTGGAATTGGTATTAAAACTTGTCTTTGTGGTCAATTCCTAAGCTGGACAATTGAATGAACAGCTGTTGGAGCACTCTGTGCTCAATGGACCTGCTGTTGAGCACTCGTCTACAAATGCGGTTGCTGGGTCAGGAGGTAACTGTCGGAGGAGGGTGACAGCTGCACAGGACACTGCGTTGCCACCAGCAGAAAAGAGGGCTGCCAAATTGTGGGGGGAGGAGAGAGAGAGAGAGATCAAGAAAAAAAAACCCGCAAATGAATTGTGAGATGGAGGGGAAACAATTGTAGTACGGCAGATGGCCCGGATGCTCTGTCCGTTAAATAAATAATGAACATTTCGGGCCAGCTGTTCATTTGCTGTGGTTTTCTGCCGGAGCGTAGTTTGGTGCTGCCGGTCCCCGTGGCTGTGCGCGCCGCTGCCGCTTCTTGGCATAATTAATAAAATGTGAGCTGACGCGGGCACAAAGCGGCGGCTGTGCGAGGCTGGGCGGCCGGGCCAGAGAGGGCCACGTGGTTGGGGCTGCCGGGCCAGGCCTGCTCTGGCAGCGGAAGCTCCGACGTGGTGGGTCCGCTTTCCTCAGAGCACTAAAATTCTCCCCTCCTCCTTGCTGCTGCCCCATCCGTGGCAGGAGTCTGAACAGCTCCTCCCCCCCCCCCCCCATCAATTCATGGAGCACAGAGCCATCGCCTCGTGCGACTGCGGTGGGACAGGGATGCTCAGTGGTTACACGAGCCTTTGCATCAAGCGCACCTTAGTTGTTTCGATTGCCTACCTTTAAGCACTTTTGAGAAGCCTTGTGTGCAAAAGGAGTTTCATTGTAGTATTTTGTTGCCTTTATTTAACCTCTTGAGAGCCCATTGATACAATAAATCCCTTTTTCTTCATTCTGGCTGTGTTGGTAGTGAGCCAACTGCTGCTCTAAATATCTCCTTGTAAATGTGCTTTATAACACAGTTTCTGAAGATTCCTAAAAAGTCGGTGGAAATGCCTAGGGCTCAGAGGGCCCAATCGAGGTCTGCTCGCCAATAAAAATACTGCGAGGCCGTTGAATAGAAAGACATGCGGTAATTGTTGTAATTTTGTTCTTCCATCCATCTGATTCACATTAGGCAGGTTTCTCATAAAGGAGGAATGTTGGAGAGATGTGTTCGACCGTGGTTTGTGCGCAGGGCGTGTGGGTGTTGGGGCAGGGGCCCCACAGTTGGGGAGCGCCGGTTCCGCTCACGCCGCCACTATATGTGACGACGCTAGCATAGCGCAGCCGGCGCCTGGCTTCGGGGGGGCCCAAACCGTTCAACCCGACAGAGTCTCCGAGGCCAGATAGGGGCTCTCTCGTGATAGCGCGGGCAGGCTGGCCTTGCGGCCCGTGTCCCTGCCATGTCCACCTGCTGCTTTACAAATTGAATGTCACGAAATCGAATAAAAGTCCAGTGTTGGATGATCATCCGGTTTGTTTAGCCTGGAGTCGCTCACGTACTTATAGAATAGGTTTTCATTCAATGATGACCCTTGTATAGTATAGTGCATGAAACCTATCATCCAAGTGATTGTTATACTATGTAATAATAGCGGTAACGGACAGACAGGCACATAGCTAGATATATATTTACTTTATATGAATTTTATTTAATTAGGCAAGGTTATGTTCAAGTACCAGCGCTGCTGTTTTAAGGTGATGTTGCGATTATGCTTTACCTGAAACACCTTGCCTCTAGCCTGCTCTGTCGACTCTCTTGAGGCTGAGTTTATGGAACAGGTGAAATCGGTGTCTGTGGTTACTGGCTCAGGCACATCAATCACAAAATCATCATATTTTGTGGCCATGTGCGATGCAGAATTTCTCATAGTCACGTTCCCGTTAGTATTACAATTTTTTTTTAAGATGTGCTTTGTACCACATGTCAGAATTGCCTTAGAAAAGTGCATTCATCACAAAAGCCATGGCAACATTGTTGTTGAAAATAATGTCGGTTTTGTCTAGGAAAGGAGTATAACACAAACCACTCGTGTGGCCCCTTCGGTGCTCACGTATAATCAAGACCACGTTTGGCAGAGAAAGAGCAAATTGTGCGAGGATAACAAAGTAGCGATGCTGCGTTAGCATGTATAACTAAATAAATAACCTCATCACGATAAGGGCGCGCTCTGGTTAAATACGTGATGTTGCGTGAGAATTACTGGAAAGCATTGTCCAATGGGCACGCTACCAGCAGTGATTTCATTACATCTATAAACAGCTGTGCATGTACACTTGAAACGGAAATTCTGTATTTTCCACCATGCATGTGATACACTTAGTGCGGTGCCTTCTGCCTTGAATCTTGGCGCTTCTCCATTTGATACGGGAATGCGTTTAAACTGGTGCTCGTCAACAGCTAACGCCTCCTGTCTCACCGCCATGCCGACGCGTTTTGTTTGCCCTGTGGTGGCCAGGATATGATGCACCAGCTGCTGAGCGGGCTGGACTTCCTGCACACTCACCGCGTGGTGCACCGCGACCTCAAGCCCCAGAACATCCTCGTGACGAGCGACGGGCAGGTCAAGCTCGCCGACTTTGGCCTCGCGCGCATCTACAGCTTCCAGATGGCTCTTACCTCGGTGGTAAGGCAGATGTGTTTGCACGCTCACTCTTTAGATATTGCAATGCTTCAAAGTAAAAGCGTCTCCTAGATAAAATGAACAGTGATGACGGCTCATCTCCATCAGTTGATAGAAAGATGTTTCTGCTACTAGTTTAAAATTTACATTCAAAACAAGATGAATGTAGCTAAAACAATGTTTATTTAAAGATGATGGTTTTAATAGTTGAGGCATCAGTAAAAAGACGATCAAAGGCTAGTTGGCCAAAATATTGAGATCTTTCATCTTGGTGATATTTATAACTTGATGCCGACTGATCACGTTCAGCTTTGTGAGTCCTAAGCAGTGTTATTCCAAATATAGTGCAGCGATTCACACACTGAGCTATAAACCTAGCCACCTGAGTGCTATTTTGTCCACTGGTAACATCAGTAGTGAGTGTTTACTGAGCACCCCCTATTCACCAACCCGCACTGCCCAACGTATGGTCAATGAACACCCATGACTAATATGGCATAGGGATGACTTAATCCAGCAATCTAACAGTGAACTGACAAAGGGCTGTAATTATATAATTACAGGACATATATAACAGTTGTACAAATGTTTGTCCTGGAGCATCTCTTTTGTTAAGTGCCCTTGTTTACATGATTTTGGTACAGCTGTTGAGATTATGTTAGGGTGATGAACCAAGAAATGGCCCGGAGCCCTTGGCGATGAGTGAATGGAGGCTTATTCACCGCCCGCTGGCACCGCGACACCTACAGATGCAAGTGGAGCTAATGGCCTCGAGCCGGCAAATTGTGCCTTGTTCGGTGACACCATAAAAGCGCCCAGATCGTTTTCTTTTTATGGCAATGCCGCATTATTTTTTGGTCCGTGTGAAAATGTAAATCTTGCCTTTTGCAAACAACACAAATTACTTGAGCTTTGAGTTTTGGGCCCAGACGCTTTCCCCGTCTCCCGTGCCAAGTCTCAAACTGTTTACACAACGCTCGCACAGATGTATCTCCTGTTCATCAGTGCATTTCGGTCTGAGAGTTGCTATAAAATCTCTCTTTGTCCAACTTGCCGTTAAAATTAATCCATCACTTTTCATTTTTAAATGTGAAAGATGCCAACAGGTTTTTTTCTTCTTTGAAAAGGTACGGCTCATCTCTACTTTTCAAGCTTCACCATTTTAAACCAACTGCTGGCCCCCGGGCGCTGTTCGGGGAGCACAGTGACTTAAACCCTGCAACCCTTCAGGGAAGCCAGTCATCTCGATCCACTGCTCGGCGCCAAAGGTCCCATGATGAGCTCCCCGATAGATTTTTAGCATGGCTGGGCTGTAGAAATTCACATAACTTTGTCATGATCACGAGCAAAGGTGTCATTCCAATGCTGTCGTTCTGAGTGTTTCCTCACCTCAATGTGCAACATTAAATGAAACATGCAGTGACGGCAGAGGGGTTAACTTGGCACTTAAATCAAGACACAAATCAGTGACTTAATAACAATGAGCAACAGGAAGTGGTACAGTAAAGTGGGTTAATGTGCATCACATTCAACAGTAACTCAAAACAGACGGCTCGTTGAGGAAATTTATTTTTATAGCAACTGAAATATAGCATAACGATGGAACATCTACATTTCCAACGCACCGCTCGAGGGCACTTTGCATCTGTGAATGAGCACCAGGCAGAGCGGGATGAAGATGCAGAGCCCTTGTCGAGGCACATGACGGTGCAAAGGGTAGGTGACCGGCCGGTGCTGACAATGCAGCGCTTGTGCACTGCATTACGTGCTTAGCCTTGATTGGTTTCTTTCATATATAGTAAACATTTTTAAACCAAACCTCAATCCACTGCTGGATGAACCTCCCCAGGCTATGTTGGTAATATATATTTTTTACCATGCTTCACCATGCTGGGCATTACGGGTTGTTGGTGAAAAGGGGGTTGAGGAAGGCAGGAGCGGTTCGATTGTTAGTTGCTGCTGATGTTAACTGTGGTGGGGAATTTAACTTAAGTCGTCGGGATCCTAGCGTGGGGCACTTACCACTGCGCCACTGTTTCCCTTTGAATGACAATAATGTCCCTTACTCATTTTCTCAAAAGAGCCTCGCTAAGTCCCAGTACTTATTTTTGGGTGGATTGCCCAGTGCCTTGGATTAAACAACACAAACGTTCAAGCAACTAGAACATGCAAACAAACCAGGAGATAGGCGCTTAGGGAACCTTTACATTGAAACACCACAGACAGTACAAATGCTTGGCTTATTTAAAAAAAAAAGTCAGTCTGGTAATTATCCTTGAGGGGCATGAAAACTGTTTGGTTTAACCCAGCTGAGACCTAACCTTGCCTGAAGGCTCTTCCTGTGTGTGACGCAGGGAAGGACGGTGCGCACTTGTGTGTGTTTGTGTGCGTAGACCTGTCCCCCCCCCAGCCTGTTCACTCTGCGCTTCTCGCCTGTCCATCGCCCTTCACTTGCGGCTCATCGCTCACCTGACTCCCTTGAGCTGCCACTCCTCACCTTTGTGTTGCCCTTTATCTTTTGAGTTACTCCTTGCATGTTTGTTGCTGCTTCTCTTCGCCACCCCCTCGCCTCTATCTGCCTGCCGCTCTTCAATTATTATCTGTTGCCTTTTTCCCCCTGCAGCCAATTTTCTGCTGACACTGCGTTGGCAATCAGTTTTCCACCTGCTAAACATTGCGAGAGAATCGCTCTTGTGCTTTGTTGTCATTCGGTTTACAAAGAGGCTGTGAGCCTGTTTTGTTCCAATTATGCACTTTTATTATTGGAGAACAGGTGCTAGACGTGGACGGTAAGTGATTAATTTGTCTTGAAGTATCCAGTATGTGCACATCAGCAAGTTTCACAGCCAGCGCGCAGCACACGCTGGTCCACTGTAGTGAAGATTTGAAGCCCAGGAACTTGTCCAGCCAGACGCTGGTGTGAATTGTATTGTGGCCAAGCTGTGCCGAGGACATCTTCTGTCATCTTGGCTTTCTCAGTTAAACCTGTGTCACGTGCCAGTGTAGAGAGGAGTTGTGTGATCGTGGTGAAGGTGGATGGACTGTAAATGTGTTTGATATTGAGCTGAGTAGGGGATGATCAGCATGAGGGATTAAAGAAAAACAATGTCTTTTCATTTTCAAGTATTCCTGTTGTATGCAGGAAAAATTCAAGCTACTAGGACAATCTGGGCAAGTTCTTATCAACGTAAAACCTAGTAAGGGCGTTATTATTTTTTGCCATTTTGTGGGCCCTGCATTGAACCAATTTTGAAACATCTAAAAAACCCCAAAGTAAAACATCCGCCGACTAGTACAGCCAGTGCATGTAGCACAAAGTATCATGTGACTTTGATTGAATTCAACAGAAAAAAATCGGAAAAACCTTCCGGTGTTTGATGTCCTTTTTATCATTTGACATTTATCGTTAAAACTATTTAAATGTTTTCATAAAATAACGTTTCTTAAATGTACGATATCCATTTGGCAAATAATGTAAGAATCAGTCTTGGGCTCCTCCTTCACCAATCCGCACTGAGCAGCAGGTGAAGAACCAGTGTTGACATTAATACAGGGCGATCCATTTATAGATACTCCACTTAAATAATATGGGAAAATGAGACGGTTACAGATAGTGATTGAGGATGGCGTCCTGCAAGCATCACATTCTCGGTCATTACGGTTTTTACTCTGTTTTTAGTGTCACGTTTTTAATTGAACTGGTGTCACGGAATTTGTATAGTTTGTATAGTTTTATTTTGCGTTGGTGTATGCGCCACATTTTTTTTTCCTGGAATAGGCACAGTGCGTGTGTAGGGTGAGGCACAGATGTATGAATCTCCATCATTGCTACCACCTTCTGTAAGATACGGAGCCATCACATTCGCAATATTGACTCGCTTTTTTTCTTGGTTCTTTCGGTAAAGTCACGTAGAAGGGAAACAATAAAATAATAAAAAATATATATCTTATCGTTTCCCTTCTATGTGACTTTACCGAAAAAGAACCAAGAATATGAATCCCTGCAGTCACGAAAGCTTTAAATCAAAATTGACTCACCTGTTAAGGAAAAAGTAAGAAGTTTATTATAAAATGGTAGATTATCTATAAATGGATCACCCTAGGTAAGTGCATCGCTCATAGGTCCCGGTCGCATCCCTCGCCCTAATAGGACGTTCAGGCGGACTGCTTGGCTCCGTTAGGATTGGTGTAGAAACGACTCACGTGGGAGCGTTTTTCGACGAATAATAATGTAAAGCGCCTTCGTATTTACGGGTCGACCAATAGGACGGGACCACGCATTTACGCATTTCGGCGTACAAGTAGTCCCGGATCGCGACGCCAATTCTCATTGTGCGCCGTGAACGGCAACTGCGGCTTAGATCCTCGTGGATACTACCAGAAGCCCGCCGCGGCATGGATGTTACCGCTACCCAGTTATCGTGTGGATGTTACCGCGAGGATGTCACCGCAAGGATGTCACCGCGAAGATGTTACCGTGCACGTCGCTCGTAGGAACGTCGCAGGTGGGCGATGGAGGCTGCGGCAGTCACGTCGAAGATTTTAGCGGAAACTAATGGAAGGTGATCCCCGGAACGGCGCATCCTGAGCAGGAGTTGCGATGGGGCGGAGTGGGGAGCGTTTGCGCGCCGGGCAGCCATGCCGTGCGGTACTCACAGCAATCGCGATCGGTACGTAACCAGTGAGGGGCGGCGGCGGCGGCGGCAATAGTGGCGGAGGCGGTGGCGACAGCAACAGGCGCAGCCAGAGCTCTGCCGTAGCAGACGTTTCAACGTGAAGGCTTCAGTGCGTTGGCGGTGATGGAGGCGGTGGGTGCCGAGTGCGGAGCCTGCCCGGGCATGCTGCCCATGTGAACAGCGCGCAGCTCCTTAGCCGGTGTCGCTGAGCGCCTCTCTGCCCTTTAGAGGGAACCTTCTGTTCTACTGCATCACTACTTGTGCGAACTCACGTTTAAGTATGATCGCTTCTGAATTATGGTTACATTGAGCTGCTGCTCATTCAAT